CTCTATGCCTCGCCTTTCTGAAACGCGTCGATTTTTACAAAGCTCATCAGTCTGAAAAGCGAGGTGTGCTGTGATTGGCCAGCTATCCAGTGCGTTGTGATTGGCCGAATACCTCAAGCGTGTGACGGAAATGTTACGCCCCTTAACACAATGTGATTTTAAGTAATCAAAACCAGATCTGACGGTTGGTGGGTGCTGAGCACAGGCCTCTGGGGCATATCACTCATCCTCAACATACTCAGGTAAAGGCAGAGAGTGGAGTGAGCACACATTGACATGAAAGTGCTGGACACAGGAGTGAGCACACATTGACATGAAAGTGCTGGACACGTTTTTTTTTACATAAAGGTTCATAATCTACAAAAAGCTCATCAGTCTGAAAAGCGAGGTGTGCTGTGATTGGCCAGCTATCCAGTGCGTTGTGATTGGCCGAATACCTCAAGCGTGTGACGGAAATGTTACGCCCCTTAACACAATGTGATTTTAAGTAATCAAAACCAAATCTGACGGTTGGTGGGTGCTGAGCACAGGCCTCTGGGGCATATCACTCATCCTCAACATACTCAGGTAAAGGCAGAGAGTGGAGTGAGCACACATTGACATGAAAGTGCTGGACACGTTTTTTTTACATAAAGGTTCATAATCTACAAAGAAAAAGTACTTTTTTGAACATTTTTAAAAGAATCCAAAATATACTTTTGAAAACAGCAATGGGAAAAAAAAATATTTAAATATAATATTCATAAGTTGAAATTTAGGGGTTGGGGTTTGGGACAGCCACCTCCCAACTGAAAGAACCCAATAAATGATTATATATATATATATGTATTACACATACTAATATTTTAAATATTATTGTCTGTTTCAATAGATAATAGAAGGATCTTAGTAAAAAAAAAATTTCCCCTTTAAACCTGGAAATAAAATTTATTGTTAAGATAATGTAAAATAAAGAAAAGTTATGAAATAAAATCCACTAATTAAGTTAAAATATTTGTTATAGAATTACTAACCCTGCCTCCTATATAGCAGGCAAAAAGCTGTTGTAGTACAAGTAGCCCTGCATTCCATTCCTATGCCCTAATCCCTTCAAAGGGTTTACCCTCAGGAGTAAGAGCTTTGAAGGGTTGAAGGGTGTAGGGGACCAAACAACTGTTTCTTGAAGTGCCCTTCGGCGTCATCATCCCGTGCCCACACGGAGGCGCCGTCATCATGCAAAGAATCTGCGCAAAGGATCATGGGAGCCTGAAGTGTCCATCAGTTGTACCCTTTGAACTCCTTCGTTTTGAACGGCCCTTTGAAGTGGCTAGTTTTGAGCACTTCAGTTTGGAACGACCCTTCAATATGATTGTTTTCACTCCGAAGTGCCCTTCAGAGCGTGATATATCCCATTTGGAATGCACCGTAGTATGTCTGAGGGTTATTATAGTTAATTAAAAGTTGAACCTAAAATAAAACATTAACTAAGATAAAATAAATGTAAAAAAATGTTTCTTGAAGTGCCCTTCGGCGTCATCATCCCGTGCCCACACGGAGGCGCCGTCATCATGCAAAGAATCTGCGCAAAGGATCATGGGAGCCTGAAGTGTCCATCAGTTGTACCCTTTGAACTCCTTCGTTTTGAACGGCCCTTTGAAGTGGCTAGTTTTGAGCACTTCAGTTTGGAACGACCCTTCAATATGATTGTTTTCACTCCGAAGTGCCCTTCAGAGGGTGATATATCCCATTTGGAATGCACCGTAGTATGTCTGAGGGTTATTATAGTTAATTAAAAGTTGAACCTAAAATAAAACATTAACTAAGATAAAATAAATGTAAAAATTTTTTTTTATTTCAACTAGTTTCCAAGGTGACATACGTTTTCATTCAGTTTATTAGAATAACTAAAATGTAAAAAATAATTAAAACTATATAGACATGAAAAAAAAATATATTTAACAAAAACACACACAAAAAACTTCTAAATTAAAATGAAAACATAAAATATCAAAATAAAAATGACTTAAAAATAGTAATAAAAGTTACAATAGTATCTCAGTTATACTAAAATAGCACTGATATGTAGATGATCCACTTCCACTGTAATTCTGAAGTACACATCCAGTGGACACTTATCCCATAAGGCCAAAAGTGAGTAGGAGAATTCAGGAAAGTGACGCAGCTGACCTTTGGTCACATAGCAAGGCCAACATGTGTTTATATACTGTAGTATGCCTGGATTGCAATCATACTACACACATACACACTTTATTGAACATATTATTTTTTTAAATAAATGTTTTAACAAATGTAGTACCTACTCAGAAAGCATGTGATTTTGGATGCACTGAAATTTTATTTCAATATTACTTTTATGTTAAACTAAAGAAAATGAAAATGAGGTTTTAGATTTTAGTTGTAGTTAACACTAATAACCCTGTACTGTGCAATTTTTTGTTTGTTTTTGGTAAACAGCAAAAGTCTTATCAAATGGAAAAAATCCATTAGGTCCATCCTGTTTCTTAAGAGAAAAGCGCAGACGTGTCAAAGGTCAGGTTCAGCTGAGAGCAGGTGGGTGTTCATTTTTAAAAGCGTGACGCTTAGGTCTAAATGTTAATGTTTCCATATTCACTGCACAAACACAGATTGGCTCTTTGTGTCTGACTGTCAGGGAGGAAGCGTTTTCTCAGGAAGCTGCGCTCCGGAGGCAGATCCGATGGGAAGTGTTCAGTATCCTGAGCAGTTTGGCAGATCTCGGCAATGCCATTCATTGGATGCCGCCTGGATTTCTATGGGCTGGACGGTTTCCTCCATGGCTGGTGGGACTGATGGGAACGACCTCCTCACTGATAGGCCTTCTACCGATCAGTCTGGTGATCAAGGACTTGCAAATTTGCAGATTCCCTCTCAGACCTATTGGTTACTGTTGATAAAGCGCTAATTGTTGGAGATTTTAACATTTACGTTGATAATACAAATGATGCATTAGGACTTGCGTTTACTGACCTAATAAACTCTTTTGGAGTCAAGCAAAATGTCACCGGGCCCATTCATCGTTTTAATCATACGCTAGATTTAATTATATTGCATGGAATTGATCTTACTGATATAGATATCGTACCTCAAAGCGATGATGTTACTGACCATTTCCTTGTATCGTGCATGCTGCGTATTACTGATATTAACTATATGGCTCCGCGTTATCGTCTGGGCAGAACTTTTAATTACAAATGACTTGCTTCTTGCGTCAGACCAAGGCTGTGTCTCATTGCTAGTTTTACTTGATCTTAGTGCTGCATTCGATACTATAGATCATGACATACTGATAGATCGATTACAAAACTATACAGGCATTCAAGGGCAGGCTTTAAGATGGTTTATATTCTACTTGTCCGATCGCTACCACATTGTTCATTTAAATGGGGAGTCATCTCAATTATCACCAGTAAAATATGGAGTGCCACAAGGATCTGTCCTAGATCCTCTGCTATTTTCGATATACATGTTGCCACTTGGTAATATTATTAGAAAATACGGGATTAGTTTCCACTGTTATGCTGATGATACTCAACTATATATCTCAACAAGACAAGATGAAACTTCTAAATTATCTAAGCTAACGGAGTGTGTTAAAAATGTAAAAGATTGGATGACCAATAATTTTCTCCTATTAAATTCGGATAAGACAGAGATATTACTTATTGGACCAAAAAACAGTACACAGAATCTCTTGGATTACAATTTGGAACTAGACAAATGTACGGTTACTTTCTCTTCAGTCAAAAATCTGGGTGTGCTTCAATAAACAAGCTAATGGTAGTCCAAAATGCAGCGGCTAGAGTCCTTACCAGGTCAAGAAAATATGATCATATTACCCCAATTTTACAGTCTCTGCACTGGCTACCTATTAAGTTCCGTATCAGTTACAAAATATTATTACTTGCCTATAAGGCCCTAAATGGATTAGCTCCTGCGTACCTAACTAGTCTTCTACCACGTAGTACCTAGGATAGCAAAGTCCACTAAAGGAGGTAGAGCTTTTTCGCATTTGGCTCCCAAACTCTGGAATAGCCTTCCTGATAACGTTCGGGGTTCAGACACACTCTCTCTGTTTAAATCTAGATTAAAGACACACCTCTTTGGCCAAGCATTCAAATAATGCATATCATAATCTTGTACTGCAGTTATATCTGATCAAATGCACATTATTATTCTTTAGTTTGGGTTAATCAAATCAATTTTACTTGGTTTGAACAGCAGCTACGCTAATTATGTCTCTATTTGTTTCTCTGTTTTTGATTTACACGAGCTTCAGTCTGGATCCAGAACACCTGAAAAGACCTCAGATGACGCCAACCCTGAAACAACATACAGAACTACCACATTTTGCTATAAGTTTGATTGCATCATATAATAATTGCTATTAATAGTGTTTATAGTTTTTTTGATTATGTCTTTAATTGATTTTTCCGTACATTTCTGCCATATGTACGTTAACTGACAGTTAAACTACTACTAAATATTGTAGAAACTTAATTTGCTGTAAAGTTGATTTGCAACGATTTGTATCGTGAAAAGCGCTGTACAAATAAACTTGAATTGAATTGAATTTGAATTGAATCAAGGAGCAGGTTCCTAGAACATCATTGGATGGCTTTACTCTTACAAAACAGTGGCTGTGTCGATTTCATGTCTGTAATAATTATGTGTTAGGTAATAATTAATTATTATGATTAATAGTGTGCGCGATTTATACAGGTTAACTGATAAATCTGTATTTAGGAATTTTGTCAAATTCTACACAGGTGAATAATTGTATATAGATGAATGGATTTGTGAAAATGTACCATTTGTATACTAATAATTTGTAAATGTTTCACGCGTAATTGCAAAATAAAGTATTATTTTTTTCAATGAAATGTGAAAAATCCTTTAATTTCGCATTTATATTGTTAGTCATTTTTATAACGATTTAAACAGACATTCTGCTCACCTCGTTTGATGACACGATGGATTAGTCATGTCTCGACCTGGTGCGCATGCGCAGTGCAAATGTTCTGAACTACGTTGAAGTTTTGTGGAGTCGCACAATAACACAGTGAAAACCGGATAAAAGTTCTCCGTTCTGTACAAGATGAATCCCGTTGGTTTGTAGGACTGTCTCACTGAAACACAACATCCTTTTGACCGTCTCCAATCTCCAGCCTTTTAAGCGACTGCCAGGATTTGCTTGAGGCTGATGATTAGTTATTGATGAAGATCTAGATAAAAGGTAAGGCGTTGTATTAAATAACACTAAAGTTAATTTACAGATCCTTCTTTTTTGTGTGTTTGGATCATGTGTTCACAAAAATCAAATGTCTACTTGTCGCTCTCTCATGGTGCTTGTATGTATAAACAGTGGCATGCTGCTCTTTGAACCATCTACTTGTGTAAGTTACACAAACCTCATTATCTGCATCTTATCTTTGTAGACCACGCTATAAATTTACTTTACCAAAATGTACTGTGATTATTCCATGGTACAGTGATTGCTTGATACTTTGAAGGGAACTAAGCAATGAATACCGCATTCATATACAATGGTATTAATAGTTCTCGGATTCTCATGCTACAATGTGTATTTTGTCATGCTTTTGATGACTTGACTATAATTATAAAATGGGGAAAATAATAATAATAAAGGTTGATATGGTATGATAAAATATTTTACTGAACAGTAAGCAAAGTCACTAGAAAAGCACATGAACTGGTCACTGGGGTTCCTCAGGGATCAGTTATTGGACCCCTCCTCTTCTCCATATAGCCTACACTACATCCCTGGGACCCATCATACAGGCACATGGCTTCTCCTACATTTGCTATGCTGATGACACACAGCTCTACTTTGCTTTAATCTTACACTTTGATAATCTGATATTTAGGTCGTTTTACATGGATCAAGGCTCTTCTTGAAGATGAATGGTTATTAAGCGTCTTACTTAAGGGAAGCTGAGAAGTCACTGGATGAGGCAAAGAATACCAGCAGTAATGGCAGATGATTTTCTCTACAATGGAGGTTTGGAGTCAGCACAGAATTCCCAACCTGATGCAAATTGGACTCCTAATGGTTCTGATTACTCAACTAACCCTCCTGAATTCTCAAATTCACACAGTGAAAATTGGCAGAGCCCTGAGTTGGAGGATCTAGATTCCTATAACCCCATCGAGCCCCCACCACTGGACTGGAGGTCCGACTCTTCCAGCGAGGCCGGTGCAGTTGTAGAACTTGAAAGCTGTTCGGTGGGAGATTTTGAGGCTTCTGGGTCTTTCAACACGGAGTTGAATGAAGACACAGTGTGTGCAGTAAGTGATTACGGAGCTCAGGACTCCAGCGAAGCTTCTGACAAAACCGAAGAGCTTTTGGCTCAAGAAATGTGTGAGAACAAGGCTGAAATTCGTGTTTTTCAACAGCAGGATGAGCAGCGAGAAACAAAAGAGAATTATGTCGAGGACAGAGATCGAAAATTGAGGAATCAAGAAATGAAAAGAGAGAAAATTGAAGAAAAATGTGGGAAACATGATATTGACCACTCGCACATTCAAAGTCTCCTCACTCAGCTCCATCTTTTTCATCCATCACCAACTAATCCTGCCCACTGCACACCTGATGAATTAGCCAATCAGGGCGCTCCGCATAATTCGTATACTCCAGCGGAGGCCCGTGCTTCCTCCTTGCAGGAGCTTGAGTTCAATGTCCAGTCAGCATGTGCAGATGCAGATAGAAACATCCCTGAGGCTTTGCTCTTTTCACATGAGTATCAGAAAGATCTACTACAGCTGCTAGAGGAGCCAGAGCCCGAAGAACCCAGAACTGCCCCACTGTTTGTTCACACACCCCTGGTGACCCCCGGACATCAGTCAGGGCTCAGAAGGCAGAGCAGTGATGCAGATGAGATGATCTCCATATCTCACAGTGAGGATGCTTGGCACAGACACCTGCAGGATGAGCTGCTGGTCTCAGGAATCACAGAGGAGGATCAGTGGACGCCGTCTGAAGGCCTGAGCGCGGATCAGTCCAGCTCTCCAAACAATGATCTGGTGAGATTTTAGTCCTTTTTGATTGTAGTTAGTTAGGCTGTGTGCCATTTAAGGCAAATGCGGGAAATTTCTGCTTAACATCTTTCACCATAGAAGTGTCCCACTGCTTGACAGAAAAGCTCATTTAATGCAGTTTACACCGTTATTTCTATGGAAGAAAACAATAATGCGACCTTTTATCTCACATTCTGACTTTATTCATCATAATTCTTTCTTTAGATTTTAAATTTACATTTCGCAATTCACAGAAATAAGTTCTCAGAATTGCATATCTATTGCACAAAATTCCAACTGCAATTTCAAGTTTCTCACAATTAATGTCTCATAATTGGGACTTTTTTCTTGCAATTCAGAATTTATATCTCTTTTCTGAGAAAAAAAGTCTGAATGACGATATGTTGTCTCAATATTTAATATATAAACCTGGCGTTTAAATAAAGTTAGAATTGTGAGATAAAAAGGTCCAGTTATCTTTTATTTTATTTTGTGAATCAGGAAATATATGTTTCTGCACCTGTAATCAGATCAGATTTTATCACGTAATCTTCAGCATCATGTGTGACGTTGTTATTTTTATGTTGATATTTTTAATGTGCTTTTCCAAAGTGAAAGTAGGATATTCTGACTTTCTGAGTTGAATGGAACAGCAATGGAATGTCATTCATTTTCTTTTGTCTTTTAACAGGAAGCTGAGACACAGCCAGCTTATAAGAATGGTATGAAGTTCAGTGTAGAAGTATTTACAAGTTGTGCTTTCACAGCTCTTGTGATATAGTTGATAATGTCATTTTTTGTTGTTCTAAGTGCCTGGACCATGTGATCCTGAAGACCTCCTGGATGGGGTGATCTTTGGAGCTAAGTATCTTGGATCTACACAATTACAGTCTGAGAAAAATCCCTCCACCAATGCCCGGATGGCTCAGGCGCAGGAAGCTGTGGATCGCATCAAGGTGGAAGAATATTATTTATAAATAAGCACATTTAACAAAATTCGGTCAAGTATAATGACAGGAATCAACAATAAGGATTATATCTGCATGCCCAGTTGAGCCACTGTTATACATTTAAAATAAAAATAATAATTTAACATGTATAATTTTAAAAGAAAGTCCAAAATAAGTCCAGGTAACTAAAATGACTAACTTAAAATATCCAAAAAGGTTATAAAGGTGTTGTAACATGAATCCATATGAAAATAAAAAAAGTGTTGTCCTAGAGTGCTTCTGGTACTCAAAATAAAATAAAATAACCTATGGGGGCACCAGAAGGGAAGTAAAGGACAAACGATTTTAGGTGGATGTTATCATCATGTAAAAAAGACAGGCTCTCGTATAGATTTTCGTATTTACAAATCCTTTATTTGCAGGGCTACATATTAAGAAACATTGTATCTTCCCAAACAGGCCTTCGTCTAATAATGCATGCACAATCTCCCATGTTTGCTTAAGTCTATATATGTGTGTTTTAATGTGAATGAAAGCCTAAATTATATCTGTTAATCATATACAGTGTTTATTTCTCTTCAAGAGACTTAAATTAAACTGCTCAGTTCATACAGATTCATTTAACAATGCCTGTATGACATTTTGGATCTTCAAAGTTTTGGTTACCTGGACTTTTAAAGGATTGACAGAAACCGCTTAGGTTTCTTAATTTGTGTAATATCTTATTTTGTGTTTCGAAGATATGAGTCGTATGAGTTTGGAATGACTTGGAATGATGGTTTTAAATTTTCAACCTGTTAAAAAAGTTTGGCTTGGACCACTAAGGAACAGCCCACACACTTTCATTATGGTGACGAGTTTTACACGAAGAAACCTTTACTCATATTTTCTTTAGAAATTCTACAAATCTAGTTTGTCAGTTTTAACATGGCTAATACACCATTTGATATATTTGCATGTCTATCTAGGCACCTGAAGGAGAGTCTCAGCCTATGACAGAGGTCGATCTGTTCATTTCTACACAGAGAATCAAAGTACTGAGTGCTGACACACAGGTTAGACAAACCTGACAGTCCTTCTTATGTTCTGTGATGTGAGTGCTGTCTTCTTTGATGTGTGGCTGATTTCTCTCATGCTTCCAGGAGGCCATGATGGACCATGCTCTGCAAATGATTTCATACATCGCAGACATTGGGAACATTATAGTTTTGATGGCCCGCAGGAAGCCAGCCAATCGCAAATCGGCAGACTCGACGGCTAGCTCTGCAGCACCACCAAAGAAGTGCTGGATGATCTGCCACGTGTTTTCTTCAGAGGATGTGAGTGTTTTCTGCAGATGTTTCTGTGTGATGTCCACCTCGATAAAGATTTGGTTTGCAGTGGATAAAGTAAAAATGTTCCATTATCATTATTATAGGGGTTTTATTATGCATTTACTTAGAAATATGCCTTTTGGGGTATTATTTGATCTACATTTCATAGTTTCTTACTCTTATTGGTGTCTTCTTTAGGCTCAGATCATCGCACAGGCCATCAGTCAGGCTTTTGGTGTTGCATATCAGCAGTTTCTGTACGCTAACGGAATAAAAGCTAGCGATCTGAGGCCAGGCGAGTACAGCGATTACCTCGGCACTCAAGAACTTTATAACGGGGACCTGGTTCACTTTTCTCGCTCTGAAAACATTAGAGAGGTAAGGATGTCTTCCCCTCTATGTGGATCTGTGCTGAAAGTTGTTGCTTTCAATGCTATGGCTAGATAGCATGAAGAAACCCATTCACCTCTTTTTATTTTCAGGTGTGCATAACAAAAAAGCCTGGAGAGATATTAGGCCTCGCGATCGTGGAGTCTGGCTGGGGCTCCATCTTGCCGACTGTGGTAGTAGCCAATCTGCTACACGGCGGCCCTGCAGAACGTTCTGGAGAGCTGAGCATTGGCGATCGCATCATGTCCGTTAATGGCACCAGTCTGGTGGGCCTCCCCATTGCCACCTGCCAAAGTATCATACGAGTAAGACCAACCAGAAATTAAAACTAAAGTTTCGAATTCCTCTGCATCTCATGCCAAAATGTTGATTTATCATATTCTCTAGGATTTAAAGAACCTTTTGATAATAAAGCTCAGCATCGTTCACTGTCCACCTGTCACCAATGCGATCATTAAGCGTCCAGACCCCAAGTATCAGCTGGGCTTCAGCGTGGAAGATGGGATTGTAAGCTGCTGTTTACTACTATTTTATAACACTATGTTTGTGAAACTGTACTGAGCGTCTGACATTCCGTCAACATGATTTCTGTAATAGATTTGCAGTTTAATGCGGGGTGGAATAGCTGAGCGGGGCGGCATTCGAGTTGGTCATCGTATCATTGAGATCAATGGACAGAGTGTCGTAGCTACACCTCATGAGAAGATCATCCAGATCCTGTCCAATGCTGTAGGAGAGGTAAGAGGAGTGTATTTTGCTTTAAACATATTGCCCACTTTATACTATGTTAAGAATGATTTAAAAACTTCATGAAATTAGATCTGTTCATTCAGACTTTTACACTTTCCCCCAAAAATCAGTTCAATCATGTCCAACTCTCGGAATATTTTAGCATGGTGATGGATATGACAATGGTAATGTTTTTGGTCTTGGCGGAATAGATCTGCTATGCTGCTGATGCTGTTGGTTATTGCTGTATTTTAATGTTTTGTTAGTGTAGCCCACGAGATGCGCCGCTGCTGTGTAATGCATTCAAAATATTAGAAATATAGAAGCTCAATGTGGAGAAGCTCTTGATTAGGTTAAAACCCAAACCAAGCCATTCACACAGATGCATATTCAGCGCATTTTTAGACGGAAAAATGACTGCTGCATTCGTGTCTCACAGAAGAGATTTATAGAAAGTCATGCAAAGTTAAAACAGTTTAAACTTTTAGAAAACACGTCGTGAACTTGTGGAGGTTTATTCCTTTTCACTGCGTCTCGTATGTTTTTAAAGGCAATCTGTGTGATGGGCGATTCGGCTCTTTGTATTAAGCAATGCATAAATACATGATGCTGTTTTGTTCAAAATTGTTTATGCAATTTACAAAATTATATTTGATTTATATTAATTAATTTAGACGTAATGCAAATATTTTTTTATAGACAGTTATTTCCCTGCGTTGACATTATGTGCTGCATTATTTTGCTCATTGCGCCCTCCTGTGGCCTCGGGAAACAAGCCAAAATTTCCTTAAAACCTATTTAATCTGCATATAAAACATTAGAAATTAGATATTGGTTTAATTTTTATTGTGTGTTTGACTGATAAAACAAACAAAAAAAATTGTTGTTTGTCTCAATAAATTGTGTTAATTTAAAAATACAGTGGTTAAAAAAAAAAAAAATTCTATTGCTCTTTGTTTTAAAAAAGGTTATAAAAAATGTCAATAATTATCGATACCGAACGATATGAAACATTATATCATTGATAAATTTTTTAGGTATATCGCCCAGCCCTAAGTTGTAGATTATTGCTGCAAGCAAGTACAGGAACTTGCTACTGCCAGTGCGTATGGTGTTACGGTTCCGTGAGTATTTAAGACATACTGCTTCTGCACAAATAGCATATAAAATAACCCCATAGCAGATCTAAACAGGTGGAGCTGGGGAAGGTGGAGTGTTTCAGAGAAACTCTGAAAGCGCGCTGCAGGAATCTCAAGTGAATGCTAGCCAGCCATATAAATGCAAGGCAGTAAGCTCATTGGCTGCATATGCAGCATGAACCAATCAGCTTGTGCCAAGTCGTTTAACTCTCTGAATATCATCAGTTACATTAACAACCCGTCAGCCTGCGCCATCTAGAGTTTCATGACTGAACTATATATTTATTAATAAGATTTCAAACTATATATGGATGTGGTTTGGATCTAGTTTTTTTTTCTGTTCATGCTACATGAAACAAAAACTTGAATCAAGATCTTTACTGGTGAAAACTATCATAGTATTTATTTTTTCTGGTTATTGAAATCTACATAGTACATAGTACATTAAGTGATAGTTCACCCAGAAAATTCTGTCATTAATTACTCACTCTCATGTCGTTCTAAACCAGTAAGACATCTTCAGAACACAAATTAAGATAATTTTTATGAAATTCGAGTGCTTTCTTGCCCTGCATAGACTACCACGTTCATAGCCCAGAAAGGTAGTAAGGACATTGATAAAATAGTCCATGTGACAGCAGTGGATCAACCATAATTTTTCGAAGCTACGAGAATACTTTTTGTGCGCAAAGAAAACAAAAATAAGGACCTTATTCAACGCTTTCTTCTTTTCCATGTCAGTCTTCAATGCATGTTCACGAGAGTACCGTGCCGTATGTGTGTGGTGCTGCTGACGCAGAAGTTGCATTCTGACGTAGATTGTCCATCTCAAATAAGTAAGGCTGGGCAAAAAACTGCAAGTTATCCTCTCTGTTGAAATCTTCAGACATGCTTACAACATATACGACGTGTACAGCGTGTGCCGTCTTCTGCTTGTAAACAAGGCACAGCGTATCTAGTTGTTCTGTCGATTTGTGCTACCCTGTCAGATTTTGCTACCTCCCATTAAAACAGTAGGTAGTACAATTCGACAACGAAAAATTCTAACTGTCAAATTATGGACACCTACCCCAACCCTAAACCTACCCATACAGTAATTATGTGTTATTCGCGGTTGTGGCTAGAAGGGATACAGCTACGGCCGGTAACCAACAATAAATAAATAGTTCTACCTAGTAGATAGTGTTTTATTAATGTCTACCCCTAAACCTACCCCTTACAGTAATGCAAATACAGTAATCATTGTTCAGTGTGAGAAAAAGAATGCAATATTGATGTGTGCATGCGAAGTAAGCCCTGGTAGGACAGTCTGACCGGTTGGATAAAATGTCAGGACACCAGCGCCTGTGTCAGCAGTACATGTATGCCCCATGTTACTCTCCAGAACGCGCTTCAAAGACTAACACTGAAGAGAAGAAGTTGTTAAATAAAGGCATTACTTTTGTGTTCTTTGCACACAAAAAGTATTCTCATAGCTTCATAAAATGAAGGTTGAACCACTGATGTCACATGGACTATTTTAACGATGTCATTACTATCTTTCTGGGCCTTGAACGTGGTAATTGCGTTGCTGTCTATGGAGGGTCAGAAAGCGGATAGTTCTGTGCATCGGTTGCTGAATATGAGATGTGAGCGTTGCACTCAAAAATGGAGACAGATTAACTTGAGCTTGCAGGGGTGGGTTCAAGCTGATTAAATGATTGGAGAAGTTGCCATACATCACCAGAGAAGAGTCTTGTCTTTTACACTCAAAATATGTTGTTATTACATTCCAATTACTTGGACGAATTGTTCTCAATAAGAGCTATAACATGCATTTAGAAAATAGATTCTATCGGGTCAACTTTAACGTAGTCATAATTGTTTTTCTCTGATTTGTAACAGATTCATCTGAAGACTATGCCGACATCAACGTACCGTCTCCTGACTGGCCTAGATCAGCCCGTGTTCCTTTAGGAGGCGGGTCCTCTCAGGTTCTCTCGGTCACATGCAAATTTGCCACTGAACATTTGGCAAATTTGACTGAAGTGTAGAAAAATGCTTTTATTTCAACTCTACCATTTAGCAGATGCATTAAAGCTGAACAGTGTAAGAATGTATAGAGATCATGGACCTCCATTTTAAAGCTGTTTTAGAGCTGCTTATTTAACTGCTGCTTGATATGTGTACATTTGTTTTTGCTCTTGCTGCTGAGCCAAGGTGCCTGAAAACAAGCCTTGTGTTTGAATGACTATGCATTAGAATCATACGGTGGCCGTAAAGTGCAAAGCAAATCACAATTCTGAAAACAAAATAAATTACAAACGCAAATGCAAGTCTAAAAAACAAAATAACAATTCAGAAAACACAACAACAATTCAGAAAACAAAATAACAAGTCAGAAAACACAACAACAATTCAGAAAACAAAATAACAAGTCAGAAAACTCAACGACAAATCGGACAAACAGGAAGAGGTAGGTATAGTTTGAGACAGCGCCATTGGTTTGGGATTACTCACCGCTGACTGGACGAGACATCTGTCAATCAACGTATACAGGGAAGAACCAGCCGAAGAACAGCAGAGTTGTAGAAAGTTCGGTGATGGTAGTAAAGTAGCTCAGTTTAAATGTATTGTATGAATTGCCCTTACTATGGAATAAAAAATACGGAGTGTCTATTTAGATTGAGTTAAAAGTGGCTGGAAAACATCAGCTCCAGTGGCACAGATGGATAAGCGCTTAACCTTGGCTTTTTGACGCGATCGACCCGGGTTCAATGCCGCCTTTTGCCGAACTTTTTTTTCCTCCCTTTTCAAATCTCGTATTAGCAATGGATTCTATTTACACTAAGTGAAAATAGCAGTATTTTTAGCAATATGCTATTTACACTAAGTGCAAATACCTATTTACACTATTAAAATAGCAGGATTTCTACTATCAAGTATACTACTTGTTGCAAATAGTGGCAATTATCTGCACTTCAGTACTGTAGTACATTATAAAACAGTATACAATAATAACGTATTGAGTGTAAATTATCATTTTAATTATTAAATGGATGCCACCTTATTGGTACAATAAAGCCCTCCCTACACCTACCCTAACCGATACTTTATTTTCAACTTTTTTATTATTTCCTTAATTTTAATTGAAAATAAATGCCTTTACGATGTGATACGAGATTTGAAAAGGGAGAAAAAAAAGTTGGGAAAAAGGCAGGATCGAACCCGGGTTGATTGTGTCAAAATGCCAATGACTAGCGCTTATCCAACTGCGCCACTGGAGCTGATGTTTTACAGCCACTTTTAACTAAATGTAAATATACACCCCGTATTTTTGGATTGACAGATGTCTCGTCCAGTCAGCGGTGAGTAATCCCAAACCAATGGCGCTGTCTCAAACTATACCTACCTCTTCTGGTTTGTCTGATTTGTCGTTGTGTTTTCTGACTTGTTAATTTGTTTTCGGATTTGTCGTCGTGCTTTCTGACTTTTTATTTTGTTTTCGAATTTGTCATTGTGTTTTCTGACTTGTTATAATGTTTTCTGAATTGTTATTTTGTTTTTTAGACTTGCATTTGCGTTTGTAATTTGTTATTTTGTTTTCAGAATGGTGATTTGCTTTGCACTTCTCGGCCACCATAGAATCCACACTTAAAATTAATCTTGAATCATCTTGAGCCTTCCATCTCAAGCTTCCAGCACTTCTGCAATATCGCAGTACAGTTTTGATGTTCAGTGTTTTTAAATGGTTTACATGCTCTTTACAGAGCTCAAGAATTAGTGCCTGTAAAAAAACAAATGGACCTATTCCTGGGTTTGTTTTTAGCTGTAGAGAGCGGTATATTTTAATAACTGCTGTAATGGATGTTTATTAAAGATAGTACACCGTAGACCGTTCCCTTGTCTTGTGTGTTTAATTAAGAAAGGAGTAGTACTTATATAATACATTTTATAAAAAGTAAAAAATAATAATAATAATAATATATATGTGTGTGTGTGTACACATATGAATAAGCAGGATAAATTATGACAGGATATATGCAGAATTTTAAATTGTGACGTCCTCACGGTTCAGGTGCCGGAAATTGCGCAGGGTTTATGTAAAGCCTAATGCCTTGTCCAAATACCCACACTTGCAGTCTTTGCACTTGACCACTTGACTACTTATATGACGTATTTCCTGTATTTGGCCCAAGTGTTTAAGTGAGGATGAAGACCACAAGTGTGTGTCGAACTTTTCAATACCTGATGGGACACATTTGTAGTGATGTAAAAATGCAAGTGTTTTACATAGCTTTACTTTAATTTTAAATACTTCGCATTTTAAAAACAACTTCTAAATGTCTGTTCAGTAGTCCCTATAACATGACAGTTTTAATTTGTGGTGCTTCTAATTAAGTGATAAAAAGCAGTGTCAAATGTTGTACAAAATAAATATCACCACTTCTCATCTTTGCACCAATGAAACGTAAAAACACTGTTTTTCTACCAAATTATATGTAATCTCTAATTATTATATTAATATTTAACTTGCATTGGAAAGGTTTCCGTGACCTCTCGCGAGATCTCGGCAAAAAGTCTCACGATTTATTTCCAGAACATGATGCATGATGGGATTTTTTGGCTATATCGCCCAACCCTAAGTTGTAGATTATTGCTGCAAGCAAGTACAGGAACTTGCTACTGCCAGTGCATATGGTGATACGGGGCCGTGAGTATTTAAGACATACTGCTTCTGCACAAATAGCATATAAAATAACCCCATAGCAGATCTATACAAGTGGAGCTGGGGAAGGTGGAGGGTTTCAGAGAAACTCTGAAAGCGTGCTGCAGGAATCTCAAGTGAATGCTAGCCAGCCATATAAATGCAAGGCAGTAAGCTCATTGGCTGCATATGCAGCATGAACCAATCAGCTTGTGCCAAGTCATTTAGTGCCACTACTCATCTTTGCACAAATAAAACGTAAAAACACTGTTGTTCTACCAAATTATATGTAATATCTAATTATTATATTAATATTTAACTTGCATTGGAAAGGTTTCCGTGACCTCTCGCGAGATCTCTGCAAGAAGTCTCACTATTTATTTCCAGAACATGATGCATGATGGGATACACTAAGCCTCGAATAGCGCTCCGGAGCGGTATTCGAGATAGTGTGGATTTAGTGTGCGTTAAGGGCATTGCACCTTGCCGTTTTTAAGATCTGGGACAGTCTTGCGCACTTACTTCCTGTGTGCAGGCGCTAAAATGAACACAAAGCAAATGGTTAGCTACATGTCCTGAGTACAGCGCTCTTGATTGGTTACAAGCTCAATGTGGCTTCAATTTTTTGAATGGAAGCCCCGCCCATCGTTGTGCTTCCTTGAAATGATCTTGGACTGCAGGAATGTTGCAAACCAGCTACATTCATGAATATGGAGCTTATAATATGACAAAACTATTTTAATTTGTATTGTATACATTTTAATTATTGACAAGTGGCATTTAACAGTTCTGAATTTAAATTTTTTTTTTACTTGAATATTGAACATTTGAAATTTAACACAACTGAATTTTTTATAGCAGAGTTTTATAGACATTTTCAAACAGCGACTTTTTTGTTCTGAATTCTTTGACTGCAAATATCCAGTTTTTAAAAATACAGCTTCAAGTTTTCAAGATGAAGAGGAAATTCGGAACATCAAATTCAATATGCAGAAATTCAGATGTAGGTCAGGGGTAATCCACAGGGAAGAGCAGATGATCTCCGAAAAGTCAAACAAAGCATTTTGGCCAATTAGTAGATTTCTGGCGTTCAGATCAGGTATCCTTGGTGATTCTTAAACATTTATAGTTTATATTTAGGTCTATATGTTAGACTAGCGTTCTATTTTGTTAAATTACAGTGAATTTATTAAAAAAAAAAAATTTAAATCATAAAAATAATTCAAAAGCAATTATTGTCCAAATAAGTGTTGCAGTATAACCAGCAGGAGAGCAGTGATGTGTGAACTGAATTTGGTGACACTACAGCATGCTACTGTGAAGTTATTGAGTATTTTATGAGTAACATTTTTCGTGTTTCGCACTTTGCAGAAGTCTCGAACTTGTCTCTCAGACGCCAGCGCATTGAGATCAATGTATTTTGTATGTAGATGAGGAAAGCTTGTTTTGAGGAAAACTCGCTTGTAGTTCGTTTTCTACATCACTAAGAAAGAAAAGAAGTCAGCACGTGTATGGCGATAGCAGCAATTGTGTATGGAGATATAATTGTTGCTTAATTCCAAATAAATAGATTACGATCCATAAATAAATGTAAAGAGATGAACAAACATTAAACATATTGACAAATAAAAAGAATGAGATCCACAAATAAATCTTAAAGTTTCACAAACATGAATTAAGTTCACAAATAAATAAAATGTGATTTGCAAATAAAAAAACATATTCACAAATATATATTTATGTCACAACCACAACTTTGCCTGGCATTTATTTGTGAATCGCGTCTTGTGCATTTGTAGATAGCTGCACGCATTTGTGGATCGCGTCCTGTGCATTTGTAGATAGCTGCACGCATTTGTGGATCGCGTCCTGTGCATTTGTAGATAGCTGCACGCATTTGTGGATCGCGTCCTGTGCATTTGTAGATAGCTGCACGCATTTGTGGATCGCGTCCTGTGCATTTGTAGATAGCTGCACGCATTTGTGGATCGCGTCCTGTGCATTTGTAGATAGCTGCACGCATTTGTGGATCGCGTCCTGTGCATTTGTAGATAGCTGCACGCATTTGTGGATCGCGTCCTGTGCATTTGTAGATAGCTGCACGCATTTGTGGATCGCGTCCTGTGCATTTGTAGATAGCTGCACGCATTTGTGGATCGCGTCCTGTGCATTTGTAGATAGCTGCACGCATTTGTGGATCGCGTCCTGTGCATTTGTAGATAGCTGCACGCATTTGTGGATCGCGTCCTGTGCATTTGTAGATAGCTGCACGCATTTGTGGATCGCGTCCTGTGCATTTGTAGATAGCTGCACGCATTTGTGGATCGCGTCCTGTGCATTTGTAGATAGCTGCACGCATTTGTGGATCGCGTCCTGTGCATTTGTAGATAGGTGCACGCATTTGTGGACTGCGTCCTGTGCATTTGTAGATAGCTGCACGCATTTGTGGATCGCGTCCTGTGCATTTGTAGATAGCTGCACGCATTTGTGAATCGCGTCCTGTGCATTTGCGAATTGTGAAACATTTCTTGGGTCAAGACATGCTGACAATCCACAAATACGTGGGCTCCACCCACCGTCTACTCAAGCCAATCAGATAACAGACACATTTCGCTGACCATTTTTCCTGAACATTTGGTGCCTTGTTCAATTGTAGTTTTCCAAAATTAAATGTAATTATTTTAAAAGCCATCAATTAATCGTTCAGATTGGCTCTCCTGGTAATTCTGCAATTCCTCATTGATTGTATAGACCTTACACTGAAACTTGAAGATAACGCATGGCATCGTGTATGTGTTTTGGCAGGAAATCTTTCCCAGACCTCTTTAATGCATACATTATGCATATTTTCATGATGTCAGTTTCACTTCCATATGGTATTTGCTTTGTGCAAGCCAATTTGGATATGATTTATTCTGAATATGTTACGTTATAACAAACCTCTTTATTTCTACATGTATGTCAAGGTCAAATGCAGAGATGGTATCAGACACAGAAACTGCCTTCATGTCTTATTTATTTATTTCCTGATTTTTGTATGGTTTTAGGTTTATTTGTCTTTTACATTTTTTTTTCAGATGCACTTTAGCTTCAGACAGTTCTAATAGTGTAGTCTGGATTATCACTGTATCTCTTCGCTGTAATGATTGTTACAATGCTTGATATGTAGCTCTTTCTATGTAGTATTTATTGTATGTACATACCGGAAATTTTATGTATGAAATGAGTAAAGTAAAGTTTGTATGTGAAGTTTGTAATTTTCCGTATGTGCTTGATGCTAGATGTTAAAATGCTGGGATATTTATATGCAAATCTCTATATATGTATCAATAAATAGCTGGGTACTGTGCAGATGCTTGGTGTGTGCACATTGGTTTATAAAAACCCTGCATTGGGTTAAAAATGTCACTGATGCCATCATTAATGTAACTAAACAAATCATAAGAGTGGTTTATTTTCAAGGTTGCATGTTAAATGTTCATATATATAAGGCTAAATATTCATATATATATATAAAATACCTAAATATAGTCATATAATTTTTTTATTATTATTATGCGGCCTTTATGACCTCATATTGAATTAATATATTGAATAGTTGTACTTGTAACACCTCAAGACTAGTTATAATTAACTGGAATAGGAAAGAAAGTGGTTACCAGTCACAAGATCTGAGATACATTCTTTCATTTTTTTATTGGCTGAAATGGCTGCTGGGTCTCCCAAGCTCCGCCCATTTCCTTAGTAGCATTAGCCATTAGCTATCGCGGCTTACGCCAGCTGATCTGGACCTTTTCTCCTACATTTCTTTGTTTTTGTCACTGTCGTGCTTTTGTGAGAAGGCGGTGAGATGGTTTTGTTAAATAGCAATAGCAATGAGGAACAGGACTTAATGTAAGTGTATTTAGTCATTATTTACAGTAAAACAGCTGCAAGGTTATGGTTTAACTAATGAAACGGGAAATAATTGGCATATCTCAATAAACGGTTAGAACAAACGTCTAAATGTGTGCCATAATGTCTTATTCGTCTTCACTAAGCGATTAAAAAATCTAATACAACACAAAACACTTTAAGACAAAATAAACAAATGCCTATGTTTTTGCAGAGATGAGCTGTGACCTATTTTCATGGCAAAGCATCTGGCCTGCAGCTAGAGCTATACATAAGGAATAACTACAGTGAAGGAACTGTAGTCTCATTACAACTGATACATTACGGATAATTCATTTAAGCGTGTGCAGGATCTTTAGCTGTTATGTACAAATGCACTGCGTATGATTTTTGTAATTTAGACCAATATCCCATCAACTACTGTTAGCCACATCCAGAGCTTTTATTTATTTATTTATGAAAGAAAGAATGAACTGGGCAGAGTAGGTTATGGGACGTTGCTGTCATGTTTGTGACTATTGAGTAAACCCTTTGACAGAACGGTTTAGTACAAACGACATATCTGATATCTTTTTGTGTTGCAGCCTAGATGAGCCTCGCTGCTCCTCTCTACCCAGCTCTCCTGCAAAGCGTGTTTCTCCAGCCAAAAAGAAGCAGTTTTTTATTAACCAGGCCATTCGTAACTCTGACCTCACTCCCAGAGCCAAGGGCAAGAAGAGTCTGAGACGACAGGAAAACAGTACGTTTTGCTTTCATTTTTTTAAGGCTTCCTTGCATTATTCATGTTTATATTGTATTATTTTTGAAACGACTTTATTCATTATTTACTACACAGGAAATGTTTAACCAAAAATGTATATTCCGTCATCACCTCCCTGTCATTTCAAACCTGTGTGACTAACTTCTGTGAGGAGAAGTTTAGCAGAATGTTCACACTGCTCCTTTTTTCCCAATATGATGAAATTAGAGCGTACCAAGCTTCAAATGTGGCCCATTTTATAGTCTATATGACTATTTATGCTTGGAACATGGCACTCGTAGCTTACAATTCTTGCATTAAGGTTCTGAAACATTAGCAATATTTCAGTGAAATATTTCAGGAAGTAAGAGGTCCATTGTAGAGGTCTACACGGAGGACCCGAGGACCCAGGACCCGACCCGGGATCCGTACGGGTTCGGGGCTATATTTTAAATGGTCAGCCGGGTCCGGGTCCCAATCTATTACTTCGGGTCCCGGGTCTGTTTAACATTGTGTGTATAATACCCGAGTCGATCGGACTCGGAGAACACCCGGCCGTTATCAGAGTCAGTCAGCGCTGTGCGTGTGTTGTTTTGTAACTTTTAACTTGTAAAATTAGAGTCGGTCATTTGAAATAAGGTGGGAAAAAAACACGAGCGACGTCATCAGAAGCAGGGTGGGCGGAGTTAATGCACACGCATGGTGATAATGGATAACTTCACGAGTGATGTGAGTTATTTTTGATTATTTTTTGAATAATATTATGAATGAACTCAACTTGTAAAATTAGGATGAGAAAAGTGTGAGTCGGTAATTTGAAATAAGGTGAAAAAAAAACAAAAAAACATGAGCGACGTCATCAGAAGCAGGGTGGGCGGAGTTAATGCACACGCATGGTGATAATGGATACCTTCATGAGTGATGTGAGTTATTTTTTATTATTTTTTAATTTATTTATTGAATGAACTGTCTTGTTGTTATATCTAAAATTTTTGCTCAGACTCGGCTCAGAGAGCACAGAGATGATAGCAAATAAGTAAAGCTAATGTCAGCAGCCATGGCACTGGACGAGCAATCGTTATTATAATCCAAATGGGCAAACAGTCTAAATTATTATGCAAGTTGACTCGAGATACAAAAAATGCAAAACTGCAAAGTCGCATTTGTCATCCGTCACCGTGACAGCAAGTGGACTTTTGAAACTGGAATAATGAGTGGATTACGCATTTCAATTGGCAAGAGAGGAATAACACGGATGGAACTTTCTTGGCAAGGAGGATTGTGTGCATCACAGTCAGGTACAAGGGAGAAGGCTTCTTACATTTGGCAAGACAAAAAGTTAAATTTTCACAACTTGTTTATTGACTTGTTAATAGCAATTTGCTGTGGAATATGTGCTGATCGGGTCCAGTCGGGTCTGTGTCTTCCCGGTGTTGTGCCGAATTCTGCACCCCTGCCAGATTATGTATCCCCTCGTTGAAGTCACTACCTGATTCGCTATCGGATTGCCTAATCCCAACCCCCCCCCTAATCCTAACCCCTCGCCCACACCTACTCCTAAACCTACCAATACTAGGGGGTGCATAATTTGGCAGGGTGCAAATTTCGGCACTACACCGGATTATGCACCCCCTCGTTGAAGTCGCTACCTGATTGCCTAATCCCAACCCCACCCCTAATCCTAACCCCTCGCCCACACCTACTCCTAAACCTACCAATACTAGGGGGTGCATAATTTGGCAGGGTGCAAATTTCGGCACTACACCGGATTATGCACCCCCTCGTTGAAGTCGCTACCTGATTGCCTAATCCTAACCCCACCCCTAATCCTAACCCCTCCCCCACACCTACTCCTAAACCTACCATTACTAGGGGGTGCATAATCTGGCAGGGTGCAAATTTTGGCACTACACCGGGTTCAAGTTTCAAATAATTGACGGTCTGCGTCGGTTCCAGGTAGTACATTTTTGACATTTCTCGGTTCTGCCCGGGTCCAACTTTCAAAATAATAGACGGGTCCGGGTCGGTTCAGTGTAGCACATTATCGGGTCTCTTCGGGTTCGGTACGAATTTTTGGACCAGTGTAGACCTCTAGTCCATTGTCTATAGAGTCAATCCATATGAATACATATGCCGCTACACTACAGAGTATACGCAAAAGACTTTTTCGCCATGGGTTACCTCAAGATTTTCCTATGGGTTTTTGATTTATGAGTGTGTTCTGTGGTAAGTATCAATTGATCATATTTAGACATTTTGCTCTGTAATATAAATTATACACACCCATACTGAAAACGCAAATTTTTATGCAATTATGTTTATTAAAAAAACAACAATAACAATCTTTGTTTGTAATAATTTACTACATAAGACAGTTTGGGGTGTGAGTGTTTGCAGTTTATGTTGTACAACAAAACCAAGTATTGTGAAGTCATGTTTTACCACAGGCCCTTATTTTACTAATGAATTGAAAAACCCCAATATAAAAAGCCATAGGAGGGAATCTTGAGGGAATTAGTCTTCAGGTTTTGACGTTATGGCTGCAAGTGATGTATGAAGTCATTTTCGAAACGAGCAGCTTTCCTTTGGTCAGCATAGCAAACTTGTACACAATGGAAGCCCTCACACAAAACTCCAGAATACGCAGATTTCTGTTGCAATGAGTAGATTTTGCCCTTGAAATTTTACAGAGTTAGTAAATGCAGAGAAAGTGTGACTACACCTTGTTTATAGTTCAATCAGTAGAGCATGGTGCTAGCGGCGCCAACATCATGGGTTCAGTTCGCAGGGAAAGCATTAACTGATATAAAAAGTGAATGCAGTGTTGCATTGGATGAAAGAAGAATGCAAACAAAAAAGTCTGGCGATTAAAAAAATAATTTCATTTGTTACAGACTAAAGTTTTAGCTATGTTTTTGTAATGTTTTGGAATCATCATTTTTAACAACTGCTTCGGAGTAGCTCGTTTTCTGGACAATCTTTTGGTACGGGACGAGTGCTCTAAAGAGGATGGTGAAGGACATGAAACAGCCTTGCCCACCATCTTCACTGAAGCCTGCACCAATGGAAACTATGTGGAGGTAAAGCAGGTTTCTTTAACTGCTCTGAGTTAGGAGATGTTTTGCCTTTAAATATCTCTCTCATGTCTCTCAGTACTGGAGTGATTTTATGAATCGTTCTGGGGAGGAGCAAGAGCGACTATTGGTTCTGCTGGAGGAGGAGGCCCAGAGGACCCACTCCAACAAGGGCCAAAAAGACCAAAGAGAAGGTCTGGCAGAACAACACACATCTTATGGTGTAAAAGAAAGTCAGAGCTGCCAGAGAGGCATTTATATTTCACATGGTCTTTTGCTTTAGTCCCCTTAACCGATGGACCTAAACTGCACTCAGGCACTCACCTTTTGTTCAGTTTACCTTTTAGTTCTTCAAGATGTTCACTTTTACATTTAATATAATTTCATCATAATGACATTGAACCCAAAAATGAAAATTCTGACATCATTTACTCACCCTCATGTCATTTCAAACCCATATGACTTTCGTTTATCTTTGGAACACAAATGAAGATCTTTTTAATATTCTCTCATCGTTTTTGTCCATTCTTTCAAAGTTCATGCAACCAAAATCTTCATGCATTAGAATCGTAGAAGTAATCCATATGAATTTAACCATTTAATCCAAGTCTTCTAAAGAGACACAGTCACTTTATATGATGAATTAGGCTTCATATATAATATTGACCAACACACATACATAGAGCACATTATTTATGATTAACCGAAGCTCTACAGTGCTTGCTTGACACTCGGGAACAAATCTGAAGAAAAAATGGTAAATAAATAATATTTTTATAATAATATGATGTTTGAATGATTTTGCTTTTCATTAAGTATTCCAGATAACTGAAAAATACATTTTAATATATTATATATTGTAAATGTATAATAATACATTACTACTTATGAAATATTATAATATTAAGCTATGTAGTTATATTATAGATATACTTATATATAAAACATTATGGTAATGCATGCTCTTATGGAGGCAATGCACACATGTGCATGTGATCATGTCAGTTTTGGACATGATTATACTTGTATAGACACGTCAAGTACAAAACAGGATAATTTTGTTTGTACAGACATAATAAATGTCCCCATAAGGTTCAAGTGTAATAGGCACCAAAACAGAATTTTTGTTTTCCAAACACTTCAGAAGTGAGGACGCTCAACCAATCAGAGCACTGTTTCGCTAGTGCCACAGTATTTGTCTCTGCCAATATCAAAAATTACAAACTTCATCTTTATTAATTCAATGATGGGCAGATAATTTCTTATTATACTTGACATATTAGTGACGGTCATTCTCCTTTTCGCTGCGCAGTAAATCCTGCCTTCAGTGCTCAGGAATGTTTTCAGAGAATTGATCGGCGGCTACGTGCAACGCTGAGACGCAGACAGATTCCCATGGTGACTCTCTTTGTCATTTGCTTGATCTTTATCTTTTGTCTTGTAACAAGTATCCCCCTATATCACTTTCTCCTGTCCTGTCCTATTCTTTTTTTCTGTCTGATATCTGTTCATCCATTTCCTCTGTTCAAGGGAGTGTTGGAGGGTCTGGAGTCCAATCTGCTGGGATTCTTCATGGCACATCCACACTCAATTTACATTACCAAACTCAGCAACAGGTGCACAAACTACCACAGTTAATGCATCGTTCACCTCCACAGACTAATTCAGACCACCACTAACTAGTATACATGCATGCTTGAGATGTTGGTTCAGAAATGGAAAGACATTATAGTGTGAGTGTATGAATAGAATGCCACATTTTGATTCAGATATATCTCTGTTTCTTCAGTTATGAGCGACTGCTGCTTCATGCTATCTGTCAGTACATGGATCTGACCTCTGCTAGTGAGTGAACTTATACATTATTCAAACATGGTTGTTTTCTTATGAGGCTTGGTTTGTTAAGGTTCTTAAGCATTTCAAGTTATTGTCACTTATATACTTTAAACTTGTTGTGGTTTAATTAAAATAAAAATGTATTTATAATTGGCTAGCATACTTTTCTGTCAGTGATGTTGCCACTAATACCGTACCAGATTTTTGGAGGAAGACATTACAGAACAAAAATGCTAGCTTTGAGCTTGTCATTTAATTTAATTTTCAAATCAGTGTACATGTACAAACTTATGTTGAGTTTGTAGAGTTTGACCAGTATGTCCTCAACACATTTGACACATATATTGTTTTTATATTGTGGTAAGTCAGTTGAGTTTAACATTTGTGTTTTTAATTAAATATTACATAATATTTCATTCATTTAACTTTTTACTTATTTTTGCTACATCATTTTTTTTATCTTTATTTAGCTGCATTTGAAGGTCGGTTGTCCCAGACGAAAGATTGGCATTGTGAAACAATCGTGATCATGGCTCCTAACCAGTGGTCCTGTGTCGTACAGTGAGAGAGGTTCAAAGACGGTCTTGCGACTAAAGATAGCCTACGATACAGCACGATCATGGCACAGTGTATTTGCTGGTATGATCCACGTTTTCTGACCAACCAATAAAAATGCGACATGAAATCAACGCGACATGGTGCTAAAACATAAAACTGCTTACCTCTAGCTCGTATGCCTTTTTTTTTTTTTTGCCACCTTTTTTTTCAGCACACATAAAACCTACAACTGCTAAAGTGTGATGTATCATGCTCCCTTTGTTTACCACTAGCGCATGCTGAAGACATTTTATTCTTCTATAGTAACGTGTGTCGTATCGTACGAGTCTGTCATCATCATACAGTCTACAGGCTTTAGTGCAATGACATGCCAATTTCTGTTTAAAGAGACTTTCAAAATTAAAATAATTATAAATATATTAAAAATAAAAATTATATTCTGTCTCTAAGTTACAGTTATACTGTTTTTACATGCCGTTTTGACTTTTTAGCATTTTCCACTACAATAATACTTCTGTTGTTATTATAGTTAACTAAAAGTAAAACCATAAAAAAACTTTAAACTCATTTTATTTAAATTAGTTACCAAAGCAATATTTATTTTGCTTTATATAGATTAAAGTTGTAATATTTCGAAAATAAAATCGAAATACTACGAGAATAAAGTCGAAATATTACGAGAATAAAGTCGAAATATTTCGAGAATAAAGTCGAAATGTTTAGAGAATAAAGTCGAAATATTACGAGAATAAAGTCGAAATATTTCGAGAATAAAGTCGAAATGTTTAGAGAATAAAGTCGAAATATTACGAGAATAAAGTCGAAATGTTTCGAGAATAAAGTCGAAATGTTTAGAGAATAAAGTCGAAATATTACGAGAATAAAGTCGAAATGTTTCGAGAATAAAGTCGAAATGTTTAGAGAATAAAGTCGAAATATTACGAGAATAAAGTCGAAATATTACGAGAATAAAGTCGAAATGTTTAGAGAATAAAGTCGAAATATTATGAGAATAAAGTCGAAATGTTTAAGCGGCATGTGAGTCTTTCCGATTACAATAATGAGACGTTATTTTCATTATAAATTAAGCTATACTGTTTTTTCATGCCTTCTGATGTTCCTTTACTTTTATATCTTGCTATAAACTTGAAATAAAGATGGAAAAACACATTTATAATTTGTATTTTGTGATAAAACTGACAGAATTGGAAAGCTGAGCTGTGTTATATTAAAAGCAACAAAGCACAAAATTATTGCGAATACTGGGTGGCTGGCGTACAAATAATGAATGGAAGACATTAAATATTATGTCCAATCATTTACTGTATTATAACATGAATAAAACAGCTTGTGAATAGTCACTTACATGTTATAACCGACAGGCTACCTCAGAATAGAAAACAATACAGCTTACGTTAACGAGTTGGAGCCCACTTCAACTTTTAGAACGTTCTATTAATGAAATAGGCTACATGTGAGTAATAAACGTTTGGACGCCACAGACGATTTTGCAGAGTAGGTGGTGGAATTTTCACAAAGAAAACAGTATAAGTTAATGAATTTGGTTCACATAAATACAGCGATCTGATCGTTAAGGAGCTTGAAAACACATTATTGTAAGACACATAATTTGTGTTTTGCTATAAAACTGATTTTGAAAGCTGAGACTTATATTAAAAGTAGGCCTACCAAAAGCTCAAAGCTTATTGCTATTGGATGGCTGGCGCACTACAAATAACAAATGCAATGGAAGACATGAAATATTATTTCCAAGCATACTGTCCCCGCGAGTATGACACATGGTATGATTTCAGCTAATAATCCCACATATATTAGTAGTGTATTAAAAAAGGGTTAATGTCGATTGGGTGTGTGAGCTGTTAAGATAAAAAGTTGTTCCTGTTCAGTCTGTTAATAAATATCATATTCTTGATATTAAGCTGTTTTCGCGAGTCCTTAAAATTTACTCTTCCTCATCCCAGTAAGATGATGCAGCCGCTCGGACACAACAATATTCAAATCAATTCCGGTAG